AGGTCACATGGCTGAGTTGGGCTATTCGGCTGCCCCTCACCACGTGTAACCCAGACAGAAGTGGATGTGGTCTGCCTTTCAGTCCCCAGGTGGCTGCAGTTCAATGAGTGGCTCTGGTTTCAAGTAGGCAGCACATGGATGACAGCTAATCCCATCCACAGCCATGGACAGTATCCCTCACCCTACCAGTTACTTCACAGAAGGTCTTCTTTTTGTCCCCAACAGGACTGGGTGTAAGACCTGGAAATGGCTCAGCAAGCCCCCTCCCCAGTACTTCGAAAAAGAGAATCTAAAATACATTTTTCCATTATCAATGGATTATCCCTTTCCATCCTATTTAGTGTCCTTAATAGTAGAAAATTCCATGGAGCCTGGTTTGATGTGGTATAAGAGCCTTTCAAACTGAAATGTGTTTCAGAAATTTAAGTTGTGTCCATGAATGTTTATGACTTAGATCTTCTCTTTTTCAGTGGGGTCCTCACTTAGAGGACAGGAGATATTATTTGTCTTGGGCAAGAAACCTATTGCTCTTGAGATTTTCCACCTGTAAAATGTGGATAATAACATTTAGCCCACATTTTCCACGTGGTTTTGAGGAGTATAAAAAGAAAGCAAAAAAGAGAGGTAAGAAGACTTTTACAATACAAGCCAGATGCCATCTTCTCTAACATTTCCAATCTAGAGGCCCCACCACCACCCATCACTCTCCTGACAGCAGCCAGTTTTCTTTTATTTATAGCAGCTCTCATTACCCAAATTAAAATTTTTAATTTAATTGTTTACTTGAGAACTTTCTGTGTCTCCAACTACAATGAAATTCCATGCAAGAAAGGATTTTGTCTCCTTGTTTGTCATTGAATTGCCAGCACCTAAAACTGCCCCTGGCAGACATTAGACTCTCAATAAATGCATGTTGAATGGTAAAACCTTTTTGTAAAAAAATCTATATCTTTGTTAACATTTTTAAAAATGGGATTTCAGGTCCATAGAAATAGATTAAGTATAATCCTTGGTTAATGGCACGACTTCTCTGGTTATTTATTTAGCTGTTGAATTAGGTATTTTCCCTAAAAAAAGAAAAGAAACATAACCTAAAACAAAAGCTAAGGTCCTTCATTTCACCATAGGGCCTTGACCCTTATCTCATCTCCGAGCCTCTCCCCATCTAAGGTAATCATCATTCAGAATCCCAGGTTCTTCATTTCCCTAGAAGTAGAGCCTGAGATGGGATTCTTGCTTAGGTGATTTACTGAGGGAGTTCTCAGGAGAAGGGGAGTTTGGGAAGCAGGGAGGGACAGGGGGAAAAAACGCTAAGCAAAGATGCGGAATCTGCTGGAGGCTGGATTCCGAGCTCTCAAGCATACACTGAACCACAGCATTGAATCTACCTTGAAGTAAAAGACTAGCTGTTTGTACCCCGAGTCAGGCAGTCATTGGCTGACATGTGGGAAGGTGATAAAGAGAAAGCAGGTGCATGGCTTCCTAGGTAAGGCAGGCCTCATTTGGCTAAGGACAATTCTCCAGAGAAGGATGGGGCCTTGAGCTGTTGATAGCCAACACTCCTAGCAGCTGGGGATGAGTGCACTTGACTGGGAAAAGGGGTCTGAGCATGCCTACTATACCTTGCTTCCCTTCACCCAACCCTTTTTACTGAGTTACAGATGATTAACAATATTATATGTTTTAGGTGTACAACAAAGTGATTCATAATTTTTAAAGATTATACTCCATTTATATTATAAAATATTGGCTATATTCCCTGTGCTGCACAATATATCCTCATAGCTCATTTATTTTATACATAGTAGATTGTACTTCTTAATTCCCTACCCCTATCTTGTCCCTTCCTTCTTCCCTCTCCCCACTGTTAACCACTGGTTTGTTCTCTATATCTGAGTCTGTCCTTTTTTGTTATATTCACTAGTTTGTTTTATCTTTCAGATTCCACATATAAGTGATAACATACAGTATTTGTCTTTCTCTGACTTATTTCACTATGGCTTCCCTTTTTTACACAGTTTTATCAAATTTTATGCCTTCCTTATAAGTGTATGTGTATATATAAATTACATATATATATATATTTTTTCCCAGTTATTTGGAACTTTCTAGAAAGGAAATCACCCTAAATTTTGTTTTGACTGTAGTATAATATTTCAGTATGTGAAAATACCATACTTATTCACCCATTCTCCCACTGGTGGACTTTTAAGTTGTTTTTAGGTTTTTGCTATTATGAACAGTGTTGCTGTGAACATTCTCATTTATGTCTCCTGTTGTATACTACAAGAATTTCTTGGGTTTATGCCTGGGGTGGAATAGGTGGATCATAAAGTATGAACTTTAGAAGATAATGTCCAACTATTTTCCAAAGTGATTTTACTAATTCACACACCAACCAATAATGTATAAAAGATCCTATTATCTACCTCCTCTCCAACTTTTTTTTTAAATAGATCTTTATTGGAGTATAATTACTTCACAATACTGTGTTAGTTTCTGTTGCACAACAAAGCGAATCAGCCATATACATACACATGTCCCCATATCCCCTCCCTCTTGAGGCTCCCTCCCATCCTCCCTATCCCACCCCTCTAGGTCATTGCAAAGCACCTAGCCGATCTCCCCATGCTTTGCTGCTGCTTCCCACCAGCCAACTACTTTACATTCGGTAGTGGATGTACGTTGATGCTACTCTCACTTCGCCCCAGCTTCACCCTCTCCAACTTTTTGACTTATGTAAATTGAATAAGTATAAAATGGCATTTCATTTTGGTCTTGATTTGTATGTCTTCCATCAGTAATCATCTCTTCCTGTTTTTATCAAAATACTTGTTACCTCTTAAGTGAAATGCTTGCTCATATCTTTTGTCCATTTTTCTATCTGATTATTTGTTCTTTTCTTACTGATCTGTAGGAGTTCTTTGCATCTCCTTCATCTGTTGAGTGTATTATGAATGTTGTGACTATCGTCTCCTAGTTTGCAACTTTTCTCTCTTCATGGTGTCTTTTAATTAATAGCTCTTAATTTTATTATAGTCACAGGTATTCTTTTATGGCTTTTTATTGCCTTGCTAATAAATCTTTCTCTTAAGGAATCTAAAGGACAATCTCAATCTTGGGGGTGAGCAGGGGGGTTCCACAAATAGAGCCAGGTTACAGGCGAGTCACAGAGGCAAGCATTGTCAGGTCTACTGAGGCATTGTCTGGTCTGAGGCAGCCCTGACTAGCCAGCACAAGCGACCAGCTGGCTGGCAGGTGTGTTCTGGTTATAGAATTGGATGTATCATGCTATTAGAGCTGGATACCATTAAAAATTCTAATCATAGACTGTAATTAACTTTCCTTGCTCTGACGCCCCGCTCACTAAACAACCTTCTGATTACAATTTGGCTTCCCATGTATCTTTGCCTACAGGGAGAGAATGTACTGTTCAGGCCGACGTGAGGATCCAATCCACTAAACAGTTACATGCCATGATGTAAATTAATAAATTCGTATTCTGATTTTATCACCTGCCTCATCTGAGCTCTGTAGGCATGAGTCAGCATCCCCAAGTCTAATCAATATGGATACAGAGAATATCAAGCCTCTGAGCTGAAAAACTAAGAACTAGACCTAGGACCAGAGCAAAATCACCAAGGTAACATTACCCTGGAGGCCCCTCGGCCTGATGGAGAAGGCCTTCCTACATGTCATGTGATATGGACAGGGATTAAAACTGACTTTTGACATTACAAAGAGCTGCATATTCAAAAGCATGGCTTGGTTCCATTCAGGTGAAGGCGAAGAATAGAGGATGATCAGGAGACTCATATTGAATATTTATTGGCTTATGAGCACACACCAGATGCTGCACAAATCCTAGGCAGAAGGATAAGATTTACAGACATGTTCGAAAAAGGCAAATTTAAAAAAAAAAAAGAATAAAGAAAAAAGGCAGATGGTACATGCTAAGGAGGAATGTAGCAAGAGGAGCCTGACTGATGAATCCTTGCTCCACCTTGGTACTCATGGTCCAGGATGCAAAATAGAAAAAGGCAACTTTAAAGACCAAAAACAAAAACCAGGAGAAGGAAACACAAGGTACACCAGAGAACAAATTGTAATGTGCCAGGCAGGGAGATTACCCAGACCGGCGGAGTGATTTAGGACCAATAGGGTAAGAGAAAGATCTCTGAAGTAAGTTCAAAAGGCAAAGTAGAGGGAAGCCCATTAGGACAGATAGGGATAATTTAGCAATCCTGCTATTAGATCACCACTTCATCCAGGGTTTCTGAGTGAGCAGTACCTATAAAGACACAGATCCCCTTCTGGGATCCCAGCTACACTGAATGATAAAGAGAAGAATGTGATCAGAACTGTAGTATCTGGGAATTTTTGGCCCTGTGATGAGACGTGATCCTCTACCTTGTATTCAGACTAAGAATAAATAAACAAAAACAGAAAAGGGGGGTGACCTATATTGATGACCCTTCGGGATTTATTTTTCAAAGAAAAATATGTTCAAGAAAGGTGAGATATATTGAAGGAAGTTATGCGTCATCTTCCAAGACCAATCTAAAAGACAAACATTATCTCCCACAGCACTTCCCTTGGGGCCTCCACCAGAGCAAGATCATGGGTGTGGCTAGATTGGATGAGGCTACAGAACCATTTCACATGTCCTTTTATTCTAAAAATGAGGTAGAGACAGGCCACCCAGGAAGGGTTGATCCCAAGTGTGGCCTGCCCACTCAGCTATGTGGAAGGAAAGGCATACAAAGGGCTCAGTGAAACAGCAGGACCAAAATACAGCAGGGTGGCAGAAGTGCTTCTCTAAGCACACCACCAGAATGCACAAACTTCAAGGAAGGGGGCTGGAGAGGGGCTGACCTGTGTTCTCTACAAAGCCAGAGGGCTCTGACTCACATGTGAAGGAATAAGCTCCCTTTAATAGTGGCCTCAGTGTGTGTGTGTATACATGTGGATAAATAAATGTAGACAGAGCAGGCTCTCTTCTAGGAGAGGTTGTCCCGCACATGCTCCATGATGGTCTTCAGCCCCAGCCAGGTCTCCTCTGCAGTGGGGATGATCTGGTTGGCTGGCAGGAAGAAGCCATAGTGCCCAATATCTCTCAACTCAAAAGTGAATGCATACTTGATGCCATTATCATATGCGCAGTCAACACTGCTGCCACTAGCTGGATCTGTTAAGTCAAAAGAGAAAACACCGGGCTTCCCTGGTGGCGCAGTGGTTGAGAGTCCGCCTGCCGATGCAGGGGACACGGGCTCGTGCCCCGGTCCCGGAAGATCCCGCATGCCGCGGAGCGGCTGGACCCGTGAGCCATGGCCGCTGAGCCTGCGCGTCCGGAGCCTGTGCTCCGCAAGGGAGAGGCCACAGCTGTGAGAGGCCCGCATACCGCAAAAAAAAAAAAAAAAAAAAAAAAAAAAGAGAGAAAACACCTTTGAAGCCTAGTTCCTTTCAGGGTTAGATGGGAAGGGGCCTGGAGCTCTGCCCACCTGTGGTTCCTTAGGGATCTACAGTTATTTCTGAAAGTCATCAGGCCTACAACATAAACACTGGCCTGATCCCTATGTCTCAGACTGTCCTGCACCATGAGGGTCTTCACTAGTCTCAATCCAAGAGATTTTAAATCCTCATTTCCATCTTGTCACCAACTCACTGTGTAGACTCCTTCAGGTCACTGGAAGCAAATCTTTACAGAGTGTGGTAGGCAGCCTCCAAGATAGCCACGATGATCCTTGTCTCCTGGTATTCACATCCTTGTGTTGTGCCCTCCTACACTGGACAGGGCCAACTTGACCTGTTTTTCAGGAGACTGCAGAAATGAAAGTGTGTGCCCTTCAAAGCTAGGTGATAAATATCATGGCTTCAGCCTTGCTCTCTCTTGGATCACTGGCTCTGGGGAGCCAGCTGTCATGTTGTAAGGACACTCAAGAAGCCCTATAAAGAGGTCTATGTGCTGAAGAACTCAGTGCCAGTAATTATCCCTCACTTGCCAGGCATCTGAGTGAGCTATCTGAGAAGAAGATCCTCCAGCCCCATCAAGCCTCTAGATGACTGTAGCCCTGGAAGACACCTTAACTGCAACGTCCTGAGAGTCCCTGAGCCAGAGCCACCCAGATAAGAAGCTCCTGAGTTCCTGACCCACAGAAACTGTGTAAGAAAATTAGTGTTTATTGTTTTAAGCTGTTAAATTTTAGGATAGTTTTTTACATCTCAAGAGATAACTGATACACAGAGAGAAAGAAGCACAGCCCTTGGGACTTCTCTTTGCCGAAAGGCAAGAGGCCTGTTTTCCTGCTTCTTCCAGTCAAAACTCTACTAGAGAAGAAACTGGCTAAAAGTGCAAAGTGTAGATGATACTGAATACTAAAATAACAATGTAATAGCAGCTATCATTTGTTGAACATCTACCATGAGCCAGTCATCATACTGTAAAGTTTACACTTATGATCTCATTTCATCTTTAAGAGGCCAATGAGGTAGGTATTACTGTCCTTGTTTTTCAGATGAGAAAATCCAGGTTCAGAATGAATAATTTATCTAAGAAAATATAGATGGAAAATGGCAAGGCTGGAATTTAAACCCAATCCATCTGATGACAAAGCCCATGCTTTCTTCAACTGACTTGGGGTCCATTTATTATATAATATATATGTCTATTAAATGAAAATATGGGTCCCTTTGTTTTTCCATTGTTCCTAAAGGTTGTTTCTCATGATACCATTTGTGATTTTCTAGAGATGCTGCTTCTGCTACAATTACATGCTCCCAGAGGTAATGGAACAGGCTCTCCTATACTCTCTGAAATTCTTATGTAATTCCCACAGCCTTTCTCTACACTAAGAAAAATGATGAATTAAAAAAACAGGCAATGGCACCAGAAGTTTCTAGAAGTTATTTACATGGCAATCTCAAGTATTTCAGAACAGATTTTAAATTCAGGAAGGGGCCAAGAAGACCTCTGCTGAGCAAAGTGATCAGGTTCATGAACTTCACTTTACTTGGGTCCCTGCGAAGTCTACCTACTCTTTTTTTTAAAAAAAAAACATATATGGGGGACTTCCCTGGTGGCACAGTGGTTAAGAATCCACCTGCCAATGCAGGGGACATGGGTTCGAGCCCTGGTCCGGGAAGATCCTACATGCCATGGAGCAACTAAGCCCCTGCGCCACAACTACTGAGCCCACATGCATACAGCCCATGCTCTGCAACAAGAGAAGCCACCGCAATGAGAAGCCCACGCACTGCAACAAAGAGTAGCCCCTCTCGCTGCAACTAGAGAAAGCCCAGGCGCAGCAACAAAGACCCAAACGCAGCCATAAATAAATAATAAATAAATTTACAAAAAAAAGAAAAAACACATATGGGAACATACTAATAACACTGTTGTATACACTGTATTTTTCAATTAACATTTGAAGATTATTCCCTATTAGCACATACAGATCCACCTCACTCATTTAAGGGCTGCATAGTCTTTCACTGTAGTAACGCACCAAACGTGTTTTTATCCAGCACTCTACTGATGAACATTTAGTTGCTTACCAGTCTTTTGTGACTATAAACAATGCTGTCATGAACATCCTTAATACTCACAATCTATCCATGAGCTAAACGAGCCCAATGAACTTGTTTCCAAGCCCTTAGTAGATTAGAATCAATGAAGAGGAGGGGAAAGGGTTGCTAGAGGAAGGTGGCCTGAGGAAGGAGACATGAAAACTCTAAAAAGCAGACACAAGAGTTAAAGAAGCAAAACAGGCTGCGCTGTTCAGCAAAAGGATTGAACAGTCCAGTACAGCACAGAAGGCCTTCAAGGTACAACAACTGACATTCAGAAGGCCACTCAGTCATGAAGAACAGAGCTTAAATCTCTTCTATGTACTCTGTTTAAGAAGGCAGAGAAGTGTGAAAACCCATTTTAGAATTATTTTCATCTAAAATGATTAATCTAAGGAAAAGTTCAGCACTTGAAGGGACAAATGTCAACTACTTATATAACACATACAATAACCCAGGGAGTTAGAGTGCTTTTATACAAAAATTGATTTCATTTTGGGGAAGAAAGGAGGGCAGACAAAGCCTATAAAAAATACAGAAGATGGGCTCTTGAAAGAGGTAGGAAATATTATGTATCCTGGACAATGCTCAGGAGAGCCTTTCTCCTCTTCTGCTGGAGGAATCTGATGAGTATCTCTTAATTTTGGCACAGCTTATGCTGAGGAGAAGAACGTTTTTGACATGAGAGGAAAAGGCCATTCTTTAAACTGGCATCTGACCCAAAAGCCAGGACCCTGGTGACCCGCAAAAATCTTTTGAGAGGACCTCCTCAGAAGGCTCCTGCCAAGTTCCTTTAGTTCTCTTTGGTGTAGGACTCAGTTCTGACTAATTAGAGGGTGGAGAACCTCTCCTGATGTGTTTGTTCTCTGAGGAGTTCCCATTCAACAACACTAGTAATAATAAACCATGTGTAATTACTGGATTGTTGCTGCAATTAGCAACACAACCACCAGCATCATGCTGAGTGCTTTATGCAGCTTGGTGGCATGTGAAACACAGACAAGAGTGCTGAGATCAGAGTACAGAGGAGGACCCAAGAGGTAGGTTGGAGAATCTTCGCAGAAGAGGAAGACTGAGGGGAAGAGCTAGTTGAGGGCGAGGTGGGTAGGACGGGACAGCAAGTTACAGTATGGAAAAGGAAAGAATTATCAACAAGTTTGCAGGGGCTTTGAGGGTGGACCAACTGTTGGAAGACTATTTACAGAAGAGGCACAGGAGGGGAAAAGAAGGGCACTTGCTTGAAAGGAGCTTTGCTCCCCACATTTTTTGTTTCTGTTTCCCATTTATAGCTAGGGCCTTGGAGAATAATCATATCCTTCAATTTGATCTAAAAATTTAAAGATCACGGCTTCCCCGGTGGCGCAGTGGTTGAAAGTCCGCCTGCCGATGCAGGGGACACGGGTTCGTGCCCCGGTCCGGGAAGATCCCACATGCCGTGGAGCGGCTGGGCCCGTAAGCCATGGCCGCTGAGCCTGCGCATCCGGAGACCGTGCTCCGCAACGGGAGAGGCCACAACAGTGAGAGGCCCGCGTACCGCAAAAACAAAACAAACAAATAAAAAAAAAAATTTAAAGATCAGACTCACAGAATAAGGGAACTGGAAGGATCTCAGCAGGAATAGAGTGAAATGCTCAGATGAAACACTTCAGTGAGAAACCAAAACAAGGGTATTTCCTCCAATTGGGGTTGAGTTGTAGGTGATGGGCCTCAAGACCATCTTCAGGTCTGAAGTCTTGGTAGAGTTTTTGTTTTTTCAGCTCAATGCTAATGATTGTCGGGGGAACCCCTCACCTAAGCCTGTTATGCTCAACACGTGTTCATTTTGGACAGGAAGGTGAGGGGTTCCCCTCTACCCACCGTACCACCACCTCAGTTTGATGAAGGTGGCCACACGTGACAGCTACCATCACACAGACTTGACATAAATTCAGCCTATCACTAACAACAAAAAAAGACTACAACATAGGAAGGCTGACTTGCAGCTCTTCTCCCGCTCCTTTTCAAGTATCCTCTCAAAGCATTTCCTTATAACCAATAAACTCAGTGAGTACTCACAGACAGTGGTGCAGGTAGGACACACTTGGTACACAGTGTCCGACAGGGAAGCCAGAGCTTTGGCTACACACCTTGCCACCTCATCCTAGGAGTGGGGAAATCATCAGAGTGAGAAAGAATGGATCCTGAAGCCAGACATTCCTCAGCTGTTCTGTACTGCAGTGGTTTGAAAAATTCCCGACCCCACCCTCAATGTTCCCTCCTGGTCTCCTTCTTTCCCAACCAACCAGAGCAAAGGCCTAACTATGAAGTGAGGGAAATGGTATGGTTCCTCCAACTCCTTCTCTTATCCTCAGTTCTTTACTTCCAGTTTGGGGCAGGGGGTAAGGAGAGAGGTGGAAGAAGACCAGATAAGCATTCTGAAGCATGTATATTATAAACACAAATTGGAGGAACTGTATTCAAGCTCTTCATAGATCTGGAAGGCTGCTCACCAGCCCATTAGAAATCTAATAAAGGCACCACCATCTTCACCTATCCTGAGGGAAGGGAATGTCATGTTCATGAACATGAGGGAAGGGCAAGTATGTTCAAGAGAAAACCTTCTAAGAGTTAGGTGCTCCCAGAGTGGAGGTGGAGACAGGGACACCATATATGGATGTGCCCTACACAGAGCACCTCGAGAGCAGAATCTAGTCCACACCTGGCCAGCCCTGGGTGGGGCTGCATCTGCTGGGAGGCGTGTGAGCTAGCTGTGGCCCCGGGCAGAGGGGCACACTCAAGCAGACCAGCGTGGAGAGATAGGCCTGCAGTCACTCTGTGGATGCCAGCCCTACTCCAGTCAGTTCACCCTAAGTGCCTGCTCACATCCTGGGGTGAGTCATTGCATGTGACCCAGAGCACCCCTAGGCTGTGGCCTACACCCTACTTAAACTCTACCTTACACCAAGTGAGGAGCACCTCCCCCTTGCCCACCACAGTGCTACCCACAGTTCTTGGCAAGCAGTGGGTCTGCAATACATTTTGGTCGGAAGAACAAGTGAGAAGGAAAGACAGGGTTGGGTTTGGTTCTTGGAACTCACAGCAAACTCAGAAGTAAGAGGCACCATCTTCTTCCTATTCCCAGTAGGCCTGATGGCACACTGCAAAGAACAGAGAGAGAACACTGGGGCTTCTTGAAATAAGCCCTGCTCCTGGACTTTGCAGCACCCAGGGGAAAAGCATGCCCAGGGCTGGATGCGGCCCCGCTTACCAGCTCATCAGCATCCGGGGCCTTTTTGACCATGTACCCACATGGATACGTCAGCAGCTGTGCATAGCTGTGCAGGTCGATGAAGCATGTGAAATTCCCACGTTCCTGGATGAAATCTACCACCAGTTTCACCTCCACTTCTGAACTGGCGTGGGCTCCATGGTATACTTCGGAACAAGGGTTGTCACTGGCTCCCTCTCCTGTGGGGGGTGGCCGAAGCAGAAACCTTAACCCATAGGCTAAGGAAACAAAAATGCAGGGTACTCTACCCAGAGAAGGGGGAGAAGGCATAGGCAGGCCATTACTAGCTTCTCCCTGAGAATCTGGTCCATAGTGTGTGTAAATTGCAAGGAGGGTGTGGCAGTGGGGTGCTGGATCTGCCACACATGGGCGGGAAAACTGGTAGGACTCCTCTAAATGGAGAGAGCTGACCTTGTATTGTATCACCAACAGTTGTCATAAATAATTAATATCATACTTGACGGTGAGTTGTCAATTAATAAGTATTCTAGATAATTAATATGAATACCAATTAATAATGAAAATGACTCCATTTATTCTGGTGTCAACTCATTCTCTTGGTTCAGATCTTAATGGCCAAGTGCTGCCAAAAATAATCTATTGTTGTGGCTAAAATCTCTTGATTATTTGACAGGTATTTAGAATTACTGCCTTCTGTATTACCTCACAATATAGGCCCCTAAGGTATCTGGTGTATGTGTGAAACCACCCCTGTTGTAACTTAACTTTGACGCCCTCAATTCCCACATTTGTATCAGCTCCTTTCCCACAGTCACATTATTTTTCACCCAGTGGTTTTTGTGGTATTTCTATGCAAGTAAGAGAATTAAAACCATTACTTAAAACATTACACTAAAAACAAAACATCAGTACAGCTGAATAGTGAAAGAGAACTCTCGGGCTTTGAAATTGAAAAGTGAGTTTAGGTCCTAATTCTTATCAACCATATGCTCTTGAGATTGTCTCTGAGCTTCAATTGTTTCATTTCGGACAAGAAAACTCAGTCTCCAAGTCAGAAGAATAAATAAGATTATACATGGGAGGGTACCTGGCACATAGTTGGCACTATTGTGGGGATGATTTTTAAATAACTGGAACTCAGAACGCAGGACTCCTAATTCTCATTCTCTTTCCATGACATCAAAGGGCTGAGGTTCATATTTACACATCTAAGGGTAAACTGCTGTAGTTTAATCCTCACAATGTGATCTTGCCTGTTGGGGTAACAGTGCTAATTGCTCTCTTCTGAGTTGCCACCAACAGCCCTTCCACCCATCCGGTATTGCCCAGAAGCTGGGATGGCCAGGGTACAAAGCAGGCCCATGAATTTATATATGTAAGATAGAATAGTTTTTAAAATAGTAGCATTCTCCCAGGAGGACAGGAATTGTTCCTCCATTCCCTTTCAAAATTACAAATAATAATAGTAAAATGATACATAGAGAGAATAAGGGACTTACCCAAGTTTCTCAATGAACCAGCAATGGAACTAGCCTGGAAACCAGCTCCCTCACTGCCAGCTCAGAGGCCTGTGGACCAGACTACCCAGGGGTAGCAGGATTTAAAACCGGTCTCCCCCACCTACCTGCAAAACTAACATTCCAATTTCTATTTGGATCAGTACCAACGCAGGAGCTTCCAGGATTTAGAGACCGTGTCTTCCTCCATAATTGGTTCGGAAAAAAAAAATTCACCAAGGAAGGAACAACATTCAGAGATGGGTCAGGGCACAGGAGAGGTGAAGGTTTTCTTTGGGGGACTATGATGGAGATGGCACCATGGATGGGACAAGCTGCCTGCAGCTCTGGAGGCAACTCCAGAGATCTGGAGGATCATCGGGGCTTCAGCCCTCACTAACTGCGGAGTCTCTCATGCCCCAGAGAGAGGAGGCTTAGCCCTTCTGGCCCAGAGAAAAGGACCTCGCCAAAATGCCCTGATGGGACCCAGGCTGACACCATCTGAGTCCACGGAATAACTTTGGGCTTCAGTAAAAGTGGGACAAATGGACATTATGGGCCTCAGTGATCACTGATGTGACCGGAAGTGCACGGCAACTATTTTATCCTTGCCTAAAAAATTAACCTGACTCCAACCAAGCATCTAGATCTGACCACAAGTGAATAGGAAATACAGGAGATGAGGGAATAAATTAAATGGCATAGAACAAAGAAGCCATCAGGCAAATTCAGAATGTGACACATTCTACAGGACAATTTACTTGGTTTCTCCAACAAATGAATGACATTTTAAAAGATATGTGGGGCGGGGGGCGGGGGTGGTACCACTGTAGAATAAAAAAGCCTGCAAAGCCGTAACAACCAAATGCAGGTACAGACCTTATTTGGATCCTGATTTCAACAAACTGTCTCAAAAGACAGTTTAAAGATAATTAGGGATATCAGATGATATTAAAGAACTTCCATTAATTTTTTACAGTTGATAGTGGTATATTGTTCGTTGTTTTAATTACCATCAGCTAGAGATGACTACTAAAGAAGTTTTGAATGAAGTAACCTTATGTCTGGGATGTGCTTTAAAATACATCAGGAAAAATGTGTGGGAGGGAAAGAAATGAAAAGAAGATTGGTAAAGTGTTGATAATTGTTCAAGATCCATAATAGGGAGTTCATTAGACTATTCTCTCTAAGAAAAAAATATTCCCTGGTGACTCTTAGCTCAGAGAATGACTGGAAAATGAGACCCCAAGGAAGCTCCTAACGTGCACATTTTGTGGAAGTTTTCTCTAAGGTCATACAACTATTTAGTTGCAAAGCAAGGAATTCAACAAAAAAGTCTTAACTCCAAACCCAGCCTATTCTGTCAGTATTACTCACTTGAGTTTGTGTGTATACATATCCATCAGGATTGGCCACAGTCAACAAGAAAATATCCATTTTCTCCAAGATGGAGTTGATGGCTGGATCCTTCCCATAATCAGATACAGTCTAAGCAGAGACAACGAGCTTGTCAGCTGTTCCCTGCAGGCTGGGTTGCTAGGTCTAAGCCCGTTTATCTTCCCAAGATGCCCAACTCCTAGAACAGCATCCACCCTCTGCAGCCTCCCTGCCCCCCTCATAGGTGCAGTGCTCTGCAAAGCCCATGGAGCACTTCAAAACCCGGGGAAACATGGTTGCCTGATGACATCAACCTCAGTGAGTCCTGGGCTGCCTTGTTTATTCATTCCTTCCAGGGGGCGGGAACAGGGGAGGGGAGAGCCGCACATCATAATAGTTATTAGGAATCTGAGCACGCCCCCTCCCCGTGCTAGGGGTAGGGAAGATGGATCCTCCACTTGCACCACCCCTCCACTGGTGCTGGCTTAAAATAGACTTTCCAGAGGGACGTGGAGATAGCATGAGGTCCCTGAGGGTCTGGGTGGCCTGAAAGGGACTAAAGGTAAAGCTTACCTGAGCTTTGCTACTGAGAAGACCCTGCTCCCTTCCTGCGGGACTGACTATGGGTCAGGGTTTTAGGGCCACCTCTGCAGCTCATTAGCTTGCTTGCTGCTATGAATGCACTTTGTCATTTAGCCACAGTGGCCTGACTATGGGGCTCTGATCTTTTGCTTCTCCAATCAGAAAAGGCACCCCCCAGCCTATCACGTCTGTGCATAGTGCCTTCCTATCTCATCTCCACGGTCTAGCTGTGTGGGACGCTGCAGGGCAATCCGGGCCCAACAGAATTCTGGGGTAATACAAGGCAACATGACCTTCCTTGCGGTCCAGATCACCGTGGCCTGCGAGATCCACTCCTGGGAATGGATACCTGAATTCAGCCAAATGGTCAGCTGCCGCCTGCCTTCTCCAGTGCTGAACTGTGGAAGGAAAAAGAGGCCAGAAAATGACCCTCCTGCCCGCCTGCGTCTCCGCTCACCTCTCCTCTCCTCTTCCCAGCTCGCCCCTATTCATTTAATCAATTTAAGATCATTCAGAGACCAAATGTCTGAGGGCACCATCCCTTTATCGGGCTTCTTCGTGACCAGGGAGCTTAATTTGTTGGCTGGCAGGGCCCAGTTGCAGCACCGCAGCTCCGGGCAGCTTGAGCCATTCCAAGGTTGGAAGCAAATAGGAAGGGGAAACAATTGCTGCTGTGAATTATAATGCCCGTGTGATTAGAGATACTATTATGCCTCTTGAAAGACCTCAAATGGTAGCCCAACAGAGAGACACAAAAGTGCATGAACCAGCCTGTTCTACTTGAGGCAATAAATGAAATCAGTTTTAAAATGAGGAACGGGAGGGTTCACTAAAGCTCTTTGTAAACAGCATGAAATGAATTCTGGCTGCTGCTTTTTAGTGTGGGGCCCCCTTGGGTCAGAGCTTGGTGCTAATGAAGCAAGGGTCTCCTGCAGTTGGCAAATAATCTAAATTCATGTAGATAATTTTACAGCAATCAGCTCAATGGCAGGTCTTCTCCCACTGGTAATTTCACCATTGCTATAAACCTGGGCTCCTCAGGGCCTGTATGGATTCAAGGGTTTGACAAATTCTAGGCACCATCACTTGTTCCATGGTTTGTATCTCCAAATTCCTTTTTATTCATTTGGCTGGATTATTTATGTAATTTATGTCACTGCCATAAATTCTCTACTTCTTTTGCCAATATAGACCTGAAATCTGTTAGAAATATCTGGAAATTAGGCTTTATGCAGCCAAGGATCATAGACTGGGCTTAAAACTACATCAACCCTAAAATCAGCTTCCTAGATTGCTTTTCCAATAAGGAAAATAAGCAGAATAGAATTTTTAGGCCCATCCCAATTTGTCTTAATATTTACAGAAGATGGGAATGGAGGGAAAAGACTGTGGCCAATCTGAGAGCTTTCTGGAACACCAACCGCCTCCCACCTCTTCCTGATTCTGCTTTTCAGCCAAAACTTGGAATGCGATGTGCTCCTACTAACTCCTCCCACATTAGGCAGAAGCAGGGGACCCTCTGTCAGACCAAATTCGAATCCGGGTAGATGTCTCCTCACCTCACCCTCCTCCCTAAAGTCAAGGAGGTCCTATAAAGCTACCTCTTTCAGAGGGTGAGGGCTGAATCTTGGACACAAGGAACCAGGAACCTGAGTCTAGTCGGGCCCTTCAAAGTGCATGGGGCCTCACCTTCAGTACATACACTGACCGGTTTTCAAATAAATGCCCAATCTTCACCCTGTTTGCCAAGTCAGGAAAATCTCTGGCAATGCTGTCTTTCTCATGGTAAATCTGAACTGTGAAAAGGTAAACACAGGAGCATTTAAAAATTTTGTTCAGCTCTGGGTGGGTATATGTGAACTTAATCTTGTTGATCTTAATGATTTTTTACAGTCCCCTAACCTGGGGGTTGTCAATATTATCGGCATGGAATGCTTATTCTTAAGCAACTGCCTAAGAATCCATTTCTACAGTTTTCTAGAGAAAAACACATTTTATTTGTCCACAAAATTATAGCCCATTAAACTAGAGTAGAGAGACTTGTGCAGATACTGCTCCAACAGTGTGGCCCTTTGCAGTATACTAGGCTCAATAATCAGCAAGGGTCCCATTTAGCCAAGGTTCTTAAAAAGCATTGCTCTCCAAACTTTTTTATCACTTTCTCCATCAGTTAAAAAAAAAATTCAGTTGGGCTTCCCTGGTGGCGCAGTGGTTGAGAATCTGCCTGCTAATGCAGGGGACACAGGTTCGAGCCCTAGTCTGGGAGGATCCCACATGCCGCGGAGCAACTAGGCCCGTGAGTCACAACTACTGATCCTGCGCGTCTGGAGCCTGTGCTCCGCAACAAGAGAGGCCACAATAGTGAGAGGCCCGCGCACTGCGATGAAGAGTGGCCCCCGCTTGCCACAACTAGAGAAAGCCCTCACACAGAAACGAAGACCCAACACAGCAAAAATAAATAAAATAAATTAATAAACTCCTACCCCAACATCTCCTTAAAAAAAAAAAAATTCAGTATGCACCATGAATATATATAATACCACACAAGTATATTATGTACATTATAAAACAAAAAATAGAAACAAAAATTGTTGCATTGCTCAATATCAGAAAAACAAACCCAATGCAAAAATGGGCAGAAGACCTAAATAGACATTTCTCCAAAGAAGATATACAGACTGCCAACAAACACATGAAAGAATGCTCAACATCATTAATTAGAGAAAACTACAATGAGATATCAAAACTACAATGAGATATCATCTCACACCAGTCAGAATCGCCATCATCTAAAAATCTACAAACAGGGCTTCCCTGGTGGTGCAGTGGTTGGGAGTCCGCCTGCCGATGTGGGGGATGCGGGTTCGTGCCCTGGTTCGGGAGGATCCCACATGCCGCGGAGCGGCTGGGCCCGTGAGCCATGGCCGCTGGGCCTGCGCATCCGGAGCCTGTGCTCCACAACGCAAAAAAAAAAAAAA